CTCGAATGTCAGGCTTGGAGGTGAGGTTAGAAGCTTTCATAAATGAGTTTTTGACCATCATCACCAACGCCATCGACTCCTTGAGGGAGACCGTTCGAGGCCAGGTGGACGAAGTGAGGGAAGAATTTGACGAGCTAAGAGGAGAGCTCAATCTCGTCAAAAGAGCCGTGGCTAACGGACATGCCGCGACTCAATCTACTCCACGAGTAGATGTTCCAAGGCCAAAGAACTTCGGTGGGTCGAGGAACGCGAGGGAATTAGAGAATTTCCTCTGGAGCCTTGAACAGTATTTTAAGGCCTCGGGCATCGATGACAACGAAGTCGTGGTGCGCACCGCCTCCCTTTACTTGGTCGGCACGGCCATGGTGTGGTGGAGAAGGAGGCAAGGTGATATAGAGAGAGGCACATGTGTGATAGACACATGGGAGGATTTCCGTCGAGAAATCAAGAGGCAGTTCTACCCGGAGAATGTGGAAATGGAGGCTCGTGCAAAGCTTCGACGACTCACCCACACCGGCGGAATTCGTGACTATGTCAAGGAGTTCTCGGAATTGCTACTCGAGATCCCCGATCTGTCGAACAAGGAGGCTTTGTTTGGCTTCCTTTTCGGATTGTAGCCTTGGGCAAAGTTGGAGCTCGAGATGCGTGGAGTGCAAGATCTTGCTACTGCTTTGGCAACGGCAGAGGCTCTCACGGAGTACAAGAAGAGTGAGAGGCCGAACGAGTCGAAGAACTCGAAGAGAAAAAGAGGAGGAGATCATCGGCAGCACTCCAAAGAAGGGAAAGGCTCGTACCAACATGGAGGCTCGAGCAAGGGAGCAAGATCTAGTAACTTTGATAAACCCATGTCTTGTTTCCTTTGCAACGGTCCACATAAGGTGCGAGACTGCCCAAAGAAGAGCAAGCTAGCAGCCTTGGAGAAACAAGAAGGCGAGACCAAGGAGAATGCTAGGGAAGATGAAGGGAAGATAGGCTCCATGCGGAGGCTAGGCGCGGCGAAGTCCGGCGCCAACGAAGTTAGCAAGGGGAAATTCTTTATGATCACCCAATTCGAGGGAGGTGAGTCAAAAGCATTGGTCGACACCGGTGCGACCGACAACTTCCTTCGAGTGGAGGAGGCTGAGCACTTGGGGATCGCTTATGAGAAGAGGCAAGGATCGCTCAAGACCGTCAACTCCGAGGCAATACCCATCCATGGTGTTGCCAAGAACGTGCCTTTGAATATCGAAGGTTGGGAAGGTGCTGCCGACTTTAGCGTCATCACTATGGATGACCATCCGATCATTCTTGGCGTCAACTTCATGGAGAAAGAAGGTGCGGTGATGGCAATGAAGTCCAATACTCTCTGCCTTGACAAGGGAGACAAATTTTGCGCGGTGAAGATGTTGCGCGAAGAAGGGCCGAAGAGAGCTTTATCGGCCATGCAATTGGTGAAGGGAATGAAGAGGATGGAACCCACGTTCCTTGTCACTTTGCGAGCGAAGGAAGAAGGAGGCTCGGTGGCGCCAATGCCTCTCATCGAGGGCGTGTTGGAGGAGTTTGTGGATGTGATGCCAAAGGAACTACCAAAGAAGCTCCCGCCAAGAAGAGAAGTCGATCACAAGATCGAGCTTGAGCAAGGGGCGACGCCACCAGCGAGAGCACCTTATCGCATGGCCCCTCCCGAGTTGGAGGAATTGAGGAAGCAACTCAAGGAGTTGATGGATGCTGGCTTCATCCAATCGTCGAAATCCCCCTATGGAGCACCCGTTTTGTTCCAGAAGAAGAAAGATGGTTCGTTGCGGATGTGCATCGATTATCGAGCTATTAACAAGCTCACTGTGAAGAACAAGTGGCCAATCCCCAATATTGGCGACTTGTTTGATCAACTCGGAGAAGCAAAGTGGTTCACGAAGCTTGATCTTCGCTCGGGGTACTATCAAGTGAGGATAGACGAGGGGGACGAGGCGAAGACGGCATGCGTGACGAGGTATGGCTCATATGAGTTCTTAGTTATGCCTTTTGGTCTAACCAACGCTCCTGCTACTTTTTGCACCTTGATGAACCAAGTATTCGAGCCGTTCTTGGATCGCTTCGTGGTGGTGTACTTGGATGACATCGTGGTGTACAGCAACACACTCGATGAACATGCAGAGCACTTGCGACAAGTGTTCCAAGTCCTTCGAGACAACGAGCTCTACGTCAAGAAGGAGAAGCGCACGTTTGCAGCCGCGGAGGTTCCTTTCCTCGGCCACATCATTGGAAGAGGCAGGCTAAAGATGGACGAAGCAAAGGTGGAGGCGATACAAGGATGGGAGCCACGAACAAGGGTCACCGAGTTGCGATCATTCCTCGGCCTGGCCAACTATTATAGGAGATTCATCAAGGGATACTCCGCTCTTGCAGCACCCTTGACGGATCTTCTAAAGAAGAACAAGGCTTGGGAATGGTCGGATCGGTGCTGCGAAGCATTTGAAGCCTTGAAGGATGCGGTGACGAAGGAGCCAGTACTAGCACTTCCCGATCCAACCAACGCGTATGAAGTGCAAACGGATGCTTCCGATTTTGCAATCGGTGGAGTGTTGATGCAAGAGGGACACCCAATTGAATTTGAGAGCCGCAAGCTCAATGAGGCCGAGAGAAGATATGCGGTGCAAGAGAAGGAGATGACGGCGGTGGTCCATTGTTTGAGAACGTGGAGGCATTACTTGCTTGGGTCGAAGTTCATTGTAAAGACGGACAATGTGGCGACGAGTTACTTCCTCACACAGAAGAAGCTCACGCCCAAGCAAGCAAGGTGGCAAGATTTCCTCGCGGAGTTCGACTTTGTGTTGGAGTACAAGCCGGGGAAAACCAACTTTGTTGTCGATGCTCTTAGCCGAAATAGCGCATTTGTCGCCATCAGCCAGCCGCAATTCCCCTTGAAGGAGAGGATTGAAGAAGGCCTTAGCCATGACCCCTTCGCCAAAACCGTGGTCGAGTACATCAAGCAAGGGAAGACTCGACGGTTTTGGATGAAAGGTGGGCTCATCGTGACTAAGGGGGAGCGAGTGTTCGTGCCGCGGTGGGACAACCTACGAAGGGAGATCATGAAGGAGTGCCACGACTCCAAGTGGGCTGGTCATCCCGACATTGAGCGCACCCAAGCTCTCATCGAGGAGGCTTACTATTGGCCTCGTATGAAGGACGACGTGGAACTCTACGTCAAGACTTGTCTTGTTTGCCAACATGACAAGATGGAGCAGCGAAGTCCGGCGGGCTTGTTGGAGCCATTACCCACTCCACAACGGCCTTGGGAAAGCGTTAGCATGGATTTCATCTTCGGCCTTCCCAAATTCGAAGAGTGTGGTTCCATCATGGTCGTCGTCGACCGATTTTCGAAGTATGGTGTCTTCATCGCGGGGCCCAAAGACATGACGGCTGAGGATGCAGCCCGCTTGTTTTTCAAGCATGTTGTGAAGTATTGGGGCATCCCCGGTTAGCATCGTCAGCGATAGAGATGGCCGCTTCACCGGCAAGTTTTGGAGGGAGTTGTTCAAGATGATGGGCTCCGATCTAAACTTCTCCACAAGCTTTCATCCTCAAACGGATGGGCAAACCGAGCGGGTCAATGCTTTGGTGGAAGTCTACTTGAGGCATTATGTGAGTGCCAACCAGAAGGATTGGGTGAAGCTATTGGATGTAGCCCAATTATCCTACAACTTACACCGAAGTGAAGCCACGAGCATGAGTCCGTTCGAGTTGGCTACCGGGCAACAGCCGTTGACACCTAATACGGTGACGACGGGGTACAAGGGCAACAGCCCATCCGCCTACAAGTTTGCACGAGGGTGGCACGAGAAGATGGAGTTGGCGAAGTCTTATCTCGCTCGAGCAAAGAAGAAGATGAAGAAGTGGGCGGATAAGAAGCGGTGTCACTTGGAATTCGAGGAGGGAGACTTGGTGATGGTGAATTTTTTCCCTCATCGATTCAAGCACCTCAAAAATGTGCACAAGGGGCTGCTGCGACGATATGAAGGGCCGTATCCGATCTTGAAGTGGATTGGCACGGTGGCATACAAAGTCGAGTTGCCATCGCACTTGGAGATTCACCCCGTCTTCCATGTGAGTCAATTGAAGGCATATCGTGAAGACAAGGAAGATGGAGCACGGAAGGAGTAGACGAGGGCACCAACTGTCGTCACCACAACACATGAGCACAAAGTGGAGGAGATCTTGGCTCATCGTGTTGTGCCTAGGCGTGGTGTTCACCCAAGCTATGCGGAATATCTTGTCAAGTGGAAGGGGCGGCCAGAAAGCGACATCACTTGGGAGAAGGAGCTTTCGCTATGGCGTCACAAGGACTTGATCGAGGCATTTCATGCGGAGTCCGCGACGAGGGCGTCGCGAGATTGAGTGAGGGAGAATGTTGCGCGGAAGACTCTAGATCGTTCTAGGAGAATGTTACTCATTAAGTTGATGAATGAGCGAGGGTATAAGTAACAAACATTTATTTTAAAAATATAGAAATTGCAAAGTGTCTTTTGGGTTGAATGAGATCGCATATTCTCATTATCGCTAACTGGCTTATGTTTTTTTGCAATAGATAGTTCAAAATGTGCCTTAAAACTTTTGTTACCACGTAAAAGAATTGTTTGAACCAAATAATTGTAATAGTATAAAAAAATTTGGTAGTAGAGTATTTTATACTGAAATCATAATTTAACTGTGGTTCAACCGTTTCATATTGTTAAATATCACGTATCGATTTAGTCTATGGTGTGAAGCTTTATGGTCGAACCGTTAGTACGTACGATCTTTCAATTCAAACTTTAAATAAAAAACCACTAAAATATTAACATTATCAAATACCGTTAAATCTAAGAAATTATCATAATCGTATTTAGAAAAATATTCATCCAAATGATAATATTGGGATTTTAAAGGGGTCGTTTGGAAGTTGTGATTGTTAAATATATGTTTTGTTGTGAATAAATGTATAATATTATATATGTATTGCCGATTGTAGACAAGTTACTCATGGTTACTCACACTAAGGTTACTGACCTGATCCGCTCCGCACGATTGTGGCAGTGTTGTGGCGGATTTGGAAAGCATGAAATTGGGTGGTATTTGGCTCGGCTCAAGATACAGTGCATAACTATATGGTTATGCACCCATCAGTAACTAAATCTGGACATTTTATTTAGAGAATTCATATCTAAGGGTGGAGAATAGACATTTTTATTTTTCCCTTGTTTTCTTAATCGACCTTCGTTTTAACTCGGATTTTTTTTTTTGCACAGATGAACGAGTATGTTGTGCTCTACAAAATGAGATCCATTTTCAATATTTTTTTAGAATTTTTTTTTCGTGTCTCTCGGTACCAACTGCATACCATATGGTATGTTCTTCGTTTTTGAAATTTTTTGCACAAAAGGAACGAGTTCATCATGAGCTATTGGATCTACAAATTTTTGGGTGAACAAAATATAGGACCAAAAATACCCACACAATATCACACAATACCACCATGGTACAGAGTGGTATCTTGTGGTACACAATGTTAAAAGTCGTAAATGATAGTTAATATACTTCTACTATAATGTATTCAACCATCTTACAGTTTTGGTTTGTTCATACCACCATGATACTCTTTTCATATCATAGGTATGCTCTTATTTCAATATCAGTCAATACCATGTGGTATAGACTGGTAAAAAATGACTCAATGTTTTTGTTCCAAAAATATATCAAAGTGGATATCATTTTGAAAAGCACAATTAATCTAATCTAAATGTGAAAAAATTAAATTTTGACTTAAAATGAGCGAGAAATCGTCTATTAAAGATTAAAAGTGTAAAATTAAAGGCTTTTCAGGAGAGAGAAGGGGCGCCGATGTGGCGAATTCTAATTGGGTTATGCATAGTTATTGACCACAAGGTATTAACTGGATCCACTCCCATTTGGCTCCAGATACAGTATGGGTGGGCACACGGTTGGGTAAACCCCGACCCAACCCAAAACCGAATTAAACCGAACCAAAATCGAAATAATGCTATTTGGTTCGGAATTCAGAAGGAAAATATGGACATTTAATATTTGGGTTAATTGCATGGTTGGTCACTGAAATTACAAAAATCGTTCAAGTTTGGCCACTCGAAATATTTAAATCCATTGATGGTACTTCAGTTTACTCAAACCGTTCACGTTTGGCCACTCTCCATCCAACTCCGTTAACTTTGACTGATGTGACAGTCAACTCTCAAAGTTGACCGTTAACTTAATGATGTGGCAACTAAAAAATTATTAAAAATAAAAAAATAAATTTTTATATTTTCCACCTCATTCATTAAAAAATAAAAAATCTAATACTCTACCCGACCCAACCTCCACCGCCGTGGAATCCGACCACCGTAGCAACACCCCACAACCACCAGCACCACCCAACTCTGACTCTTGCCCCATCCCCGTCCCCGACTCTAGCTTCAATCCCTCCTCCCACTCCTCCGCCGCCGCTACTGCACAAGGTAATTAACGGCTTGATTGCCAGCCCTTTTTTTGTCTCAATTTCGAATTTAAGGCCAACAATCACTCTGTAGTTTCCGCTGGTTTCACGAAGTAGGAGGATTTGGAAGCTACTGTTGGAATCCAAGGACTCCAAAATTGCACGAATTAGCATCCCCTCCATCCCGGCGGAGCCCCGATCTTCGAGGAAGCGACCAAATTCTGCTATGACATCCACGTCGACATCAACCTCTCAAACGTCGCGATGCTGCGCTGCGCATCCCATTTCCTAGAGATGACGGAGGAATTCGCCGACAAGAACCTCGTATCTCGAGCCGTAGTGCAAGTATATATATTCATACTCCACCTAGCCCTAGTGCAAGTATAAGGATATTAGGATAGAAGCGAACCAGAGAGTTGTATGATTCTTGCTCTTAAGAACGTCAGGTAAGTCTTTGCAGGTGGCGGCAATCGGGAGTTGCAAAACCCTAACACCCGCAGTAAGAAGTAAAGATTCGAGTCATTCCATTGGATATCAGTTGGGTTCAGGGCGTTCGAGGAGTACCGAGACTTGTAAGAGGGGGAGGAGCTTTTTCGTGGTGGTTCCAATCGATGAGAGTTCCAACGGGTGGCAGGGGAAATCATTGAAAAGCTTGTTTTGGGAACCTGCAGCTGTGTGAAGAAAGGAAAGAATTTGTGGGCGGTGAGTGCTAGTAATGGACTGAAAGTTGTGTTGTTTTCGGATCCAGTTCAAGCTCCATGATTTCAAACGAGGGCCAATGATGGATTGACGGTGGTGCTAGCAGCAAGTCGATTCGGGTTGAGGCCTGAGGGCAGAGTGGTTGAACGTCTGAAGCCTAGGTTTTGAAAAGATGGCCATTGCTGCGTCGACGGCTAATTCCTGTAGGTACGATTTGGAGAGGAGGATTGGGCTTCAGCTTGACCGGGCCATGTGGAAAGGATTGAAGCGGTGGTGGAGGTTGGGTTGGGTCGGGTATTAGGTTTTTTATTTTTATTTTTTAATGAATGTAATAAGGAGGTGGAAAATATAAAAAAAATATTTTTTTAGTTGTCACGTCACTAATTTAACGGTCAACTTTGAGAGTTGACTGCCACATCAGCCAAAGTTAACGGAGTTGGACGGAGAGTGACCAAACCTGATCAGTTTGAGTAAACTAAAGTACCACCAATGAATTTAAATATTTCGAGTGACCAAACTTGAACTTTTTTGTAATCTCAGTGACCAACCATGCAATTAACACTTTAATATTTCGGAAATCAAGGTTCTTTCAACCAAACCGAAATTCTGAAATTCAGACCGAAATACCGAAAATACTATAATTGCAACCTCCAAATGGTGGATTTTTATGTTTGTAGTTGTTTTTAGACTTAAATATTTGAAATCTTTTATAAATTATGTGTTGAAAAGTTTGATTTTATCATTGATGATGCATATAATTGCATATTTATTGTTTATATTAGGGGTGAAAAATAATTTAAAAGTGAGAAGATACAAGTAGCCTCACAAATTCGGTTTTGTGTGAAAAACCGAATTATAATTCGGTTTAAACCGACCGAAGTGAATTATAATTCCGTTCAAATTTGGTTTTTGGTTTGGGAGAATTCGGGACCCGGTATTCATAATTCCAGCTCGGTCGAAACCGAACCGACCGAATGCCCACCCCTAAGATACGAGGCTCAAGGGGAGAAGATCCAGTCAATAACTATGCATAACCCAATCAAAATCTGCCACATCGGTGCCTATTCTCTCTCTTGTAAAGCCTTTATTTTTTCTTCTTTAATCTTTAATGGACGATTTCTCACTCATTTTGAGTCGATTTTTTTTTGCACAGTTAGATCAGATTGATTGTGCTCTTCAAAATGATATAAACTTTGATATATGTTTGGAACAAAAAAAAAATGAGCCATTTTTTTACCAATCTATACCATATGGTATTGACTGGTATTGAAATAAGAGCATAACATATGGTATGACAAGCGTACCATGGTGGTATGAACATACGAAGACTGTAGGATTGTTGAATACATGATAGTAAGAGTATACTATCTGTCATTTACGACTTTCAACATTGTGTACCACAAGATACCACCCCGTACCAGGGAGGTATTGTGTGGTATTTTTTGGTACTGTATTTTGTTCACCAAGAAATTTGTAGGTCCAATAAATCATGATGAACTCGTTCATTCTGTGCAAAAAATTTCAAAAACGACTTAAAAACGAAGAAATACCATATGATATGCAGTTGGTAACGAGAGGCATATTTTTTATTTTGCAAAAAAAAAAAAAAAAAAAAAAATGGTTCTCGTTTTGTAAATCACAACGAATCGTTCCATCTGTACAAAAGAAATTGAAATCCGAGTTAAAACGAAGAATATATGAGCCGATTAAGAAAATGGTTATGCACCCATGAGTAATTAAATCTGGACCCTTCATTCAGAAAATCTAGATCTAAAGATGGAGAATTAAAGACATTTTTATTTTTTCTTGTTTTCTTAATCGGCTCGTATCATCTTCGTTTTAACTCGGGTTCAATTTTTTTTAACAGATGGAACGAATTCATTGTGCTCTATAAAATGAGATCCATTTTCAATATTTTTTTAGGGATATTTTTTTGCCTCTCGTTATCAACTGCATACCATATGGTGTCTTCTTTGTTTTGAAGTCATTTTTTAATTTTTTTGCACAGAAGCAATGTGTTCATCATGATCTATTGTATCTACAAATATCTGGGTGAACAAAATGCATGACCAAAAATACTACACAATACCACCCCTGGTACGGGGTGGTATCTTGTGGTACAGAATGTTGAAAGTTGTAAATGACAGTTAGTGTATTCCTACTATCATGTATTCAACCATCCTACAGTCTTGGTATGTCCATACCACCATAGTACGCTTTTCATACCATATGATATGCTATTATTTCAATATCAGTAAATACCAAATGGTATATACTGTTAAAAATGACTCATTTTTTTTGTTCCAAAAACATATCAAAGTGAATAGCATTTTCAAGAGCACAATTAATATGATATAATTGTGCAAAAAAATTTAAATTCCAACTTAAAAGGAGTGAGTAATCGTTCGTTAAAGAATAAGGGAAAACAATTAAAGGTTTTTCAGGAGAGAGAAGGGACGCTGATGTGGCGGATTCTGATTGGTTATGCATAGTTATTGACCACAAGGTTACACCATCGACATTCATGAAATACCATTTCTATTTCATATGTGAGCCCCACTGTCACATCATCAGGCCAAGTCAAATGCAAAACCCTAAATTTGGGGGCCTACGTCCCCAAATTTGGGGATTGATCCCCATTTTCTCTTCTTTTGCTCCAATGCGTCAATCTCCATATTTGGTGATCTTACTTTTTCCAGTTTTTCCATTTACTTAAAAATGTACTTATCAAAGTCTTAATATAATTTGTTCATGTTAATATTTGCATAGTTCGTCATCATTTTTAAAAACAAAATTTTCCGATAGAATTTTTTTAAATTCCGAGACCGAATTTTTTTGGCGAAAAATTATGGACCTAATTTGGGTTTACACACAACACTTGAAAATGATTGATCTAATTAAACCCCTAACTAATTCCCTAATTAAACCCCAAGTAACCCCTAAAATCTTAAAAATAAAAAGAAAAGTCACGTGGCGGGCTTTGGGGATCCTTTTGCAGATCTCCCCTAAATATAGAGACTCATCCATTTATAGAGACTCCATTGGAGCTAACTTTTCCCCAAATATAGAGACTCCCTGATGACTTGATATATACACATGTTTTGTCCACCATTCTTATACCGGTTGAGCCTCATTTCTCGTATCTTAGGCTGATTTCACGCTAGGTTGTTCTTGTTTTTGAAATTTCAGCTCCTAGTACGTGATTGGAGGTTTGGGAAGGAGTTCGGGGTCGATTGGACGAAGGTTGGACGTTGGGCGAGAAGCTGAGGAAACCACACGGCCAGACCTAGCAGCCACATGGCCGTGTGGCCTGACCATGTGGAATTCCATTGCGCTGGCAAACCACACTGGCCGTGTACCGCGTCCCTTGAGGCCGTGTGGAAATCACAGAGATGTCACACGAGCAGGCCGAGATTTCACACGACCGTGCAGTTCTGGCCGTGTGACGTGCATGAAACCACTTAAGTGAAACGCGGCGTTTTCACCTCCACATGGGCAGCTGGGATTTTTACACGGCCGTGTGGTCGGAAAATTCTGGGTTTTAACCCAATTTCGGGTCTTTAGGAGGGGGATCGAGTTTTTGAGCAAAAAACAGAGCTTTAGAGAGAGAAAGTGCGAAGAACAAACCCTAAGAGCTATTTGGAGTGGATTTCTCACCATTGAAGCCCAGATTGCATCCCCAGGAGTGAAGATCGACATCCCAGAGCAGATTATCCTCATCTTTATGAGTATGACTACTCTGATATCTGTTTTCCTCTCTCTCTCTCTCTATATATATATATATATATATATATATATATATATATATATGGAGTAGAACCTTCTCTCACTTGGGTATGAAGAACCCTAGTTCCATGTGTTAGGAATCTTGATTGTAATGACTTTGGATTGATATACTGATTGATTTTAATCGATTGATGCATGATTCCTTGAGTCAATTGAAGCCTAATCATCTTTTCTTGATTTCTGCTTCAACCTGAGATAGATAGAATCTGATTATGTTGTTAGAGCTTCATCAATCGGTAGTGGTAGATTGGTTATACGAGAGTTAATAGATTTACTGCTTTGTACTGGAATCCAATTCCAGTAGTGGAGTTCTGTGCTTATTGCCTCAGCAGTCTATCTCGGTGAAGGGTAGTCGCCTGGCGGTTAGTCTGCCTGAGAGGGCTTGGTCAGCTTAAGAGATTCCAAGCTACTGTCGGATCTTTCATAGTTTAATCAACACTTAATCAACCCAGGGTAATTACAACCTTGACCTAACTAAGGAGCTAGGGGGACTCATTCCCGAGTGACTCTTCCCTTGCTAAAGAACTTTGAACCATTTCCTTCTTTCTTACTACTTTTACTTAAAATCACAATCACTCGACTTAGTTTGCTAGATAATAGATAATCACAGAGTAGGCAGTAGATCTAGACCTCGAGTTGACAAATAGAACTTGCCGCTAGTCTGCATTTCCGGACTGCGATTACACTTGGTCGCAGTTTGGTGTTGTGTTTTAGCGTGTCAAGTTTTTGGCGCCGTTGCCGGGGAACTCTAGGTTATTGTGGAAACGTGAAAGTTTGTTACTCTAGCTTTTTCTTTACTGCATTCTCTCTCTTCCACCTTTGTGCCTTCACGGGTTGTGTTTGCATTCTGTGTGTAGGTAGTGCATGACCCGTAGCCAGTTGGGAGATTTACTACCATTAGACCAAGAGCTTGAACGGACTTGTAGGAACTTCAAGCGGGCTTTAAAGGCACGAATGGCTGCGGAGGAGGCTCTAGCACAACTACAAATCACCGAGGAGGAAGACATGGGTGAACCACAGAACAATGATGTGGTCATTAGGGCTGGCCATTCGGTTAGCGGTTAGCGGTTAACCGGACGGTTAAACCGATAACCGCCGGTTACCGGTTAACTGACTAACCGAAATAAACAGTGTCGGGCGGTTGGCGGTAAGGGGGGTCACTGTGCCGGTTAACCGGCTAACCGACGGTGGTAACCGCCAGCTAACCGGCCTGCTAACCGGCAAAACCCAAAAGTCCAAAACGCCGCCGCTCACCATGAACTCCACGGGCCACGAGACTAACCCTAAATCCCTAATTCGACGAAGACCGCCTCATCTCCTGCCTCCTCTTCCTCTGCACTGCAAACGCCAAACGGCCACCCCTTCCCTTCTCTTCTCTCGTTCTCTGCATCTGCTCGCTTCCTCTGTGCCGCCGCCCACCTCTTCCGTTCCCTTCTTCCCTGCTTGGGTTACACCGCCTGACTCCCCATACCGCCAGAGATTCCCCAATTGGAACAGATCGACAACGCCGATCTCCTCCTCGCGTTCGGTGTGCGATTCGACGACCGCGTCACCGGGAAAGTCGAAACGTTCGCCAGCAGAGTTACAATCGTCCACATCGACATCGATTCGGCCGATATCAGGAAGAACAAGCAGCCGCACATCGCGATGTGCGCCGATTCGAAGCCCGCCTTGCAGGGTATGAATTCAGTCCTGGAGAAGAAAGGATCTCAATTCAACCTCGATTTCACCTCCGCCACCGTTCCAGCGTCGAGGCAACTACGTCATTGCGGTTAACTTGGCTAACCGAGAACTAAGCGGTAACCGACCGGTCGATTGTCGGATAACCGATGGGCTCCGTCGGGCGGTTGGCGGTAGGAGTGTTTGGGGTCGCGGTTAACCGGTAACCGACATTTTGGTTACCGGTTATAACCGAGATAACCGAAAATCCAGCCCTAGTGGTCATTCCTGAGGAGCAGACCATGGGGTATTACTGGAACGCCAGAGCCGCGGACATGAGGTCACCCATCCAGTACCCTCAAGTTCCAGCAAATAACTTTGAGGCGAGCACCTCTGTCATCACCATGCTGCGCGGCTCGGTGGTATTCCGTGACAAGGAGGGGTAGTGCCCCCGATCACACCTGAGGCGATTCCACAAGCTCATCGATGGGATCAAGATCAATGGGGTCCCAACCGATGCCATCCAGCTGAGGTACTTCCCATTTACTTTGGAGGGGCAAGCCAAGGAGTGGCTGGACAATCGAACTCCAGGCTCTATCACCACGTTCGCCAACCTGGGGGACAAGTTCCTCACCTGCTACCATCCTCCGTCCAAGACGGCGGACATGTAGAAGCAAATCAACCACTTTGCTCAGGATGAAGATGAGACCATCCGGGATGCTTGGAAAAGATACACCAGTCTTTTCCTCAAGTGTCCCAACCATGGTTTTACTGACGCCTTCAAGGTGGGCACCTTATACCATGCCCTCTTCCCAGAAGACAAGCAGCTGATTGACTAAGTTTGCGGCGGGAATATGTTCACCAAGACACTGCCACAGCTGAATCAACTATTTGAAGAGATGGCAGAGCAGGGATATGATTGGGGAACTGCGAGGAGATCGAGACGAGCACCAGGGCGGGGTGTGCATGCTGTAGCCACTCAGTCGTCTGACCTGGTGCAGGTGGTATCTAAAATGGTTTTAGCCATCGATCGCTCTGGAATGATTTCAGGTACATAATAGCAGCAGGCGATGCACTGCCAGTGGTGTGAAAGCTCCCATCACACCGTTGAGGACTGTCAGGCGATGAGGGAGTCATCTACTCCCCAGGAGCAAGTGGACTTCATCGGCAATGCCAGGCGTTTCGACCCCTACAACAACACTTACAACGAATGGTGGCGCCACCATCCCAACTTCTCCTGGGTTGGGGCCAATCCTAGACCACTAATCTCCCAGGGACCGCCAGGCATCCAGAGGCCTCCTTACCAGCCCAGACAAAGGCAATTTCAGCAGCATCAGCCTCTTTACCCGCCCAGACA